GAACAAAGCATTCCATTTCAGTGTTAAAATTTAAAATATGCTCTGAAATCAAAAGAACATCTTACGGGCAAGGTTTATCGCCGTAAAGATGTTTGCAGGTATCAGCCCATTTCACCCAACAATCTAACTGCATGGCGCACACTGGAGGTTCTTTCTCTCCCATTTCAACACACGTCTCGTGAGGGGCGCATGTCAAGCCGGCAGCTGCGCAAGCGCTAGTTGTCTCCACGAAAGCGAAGGATTCATCCCATTTTCTGTGGAAGCTGTAAAGAAAAGATTTATTTATTTATTTATTTATTTATTTATTTATTTATTCAACCATTTATATATTTATAAAATTAGATGAAATAAAATTAATTACAGTGTTATTTAAAAATGGAATAAAGCCTGTAGCCATATTTCAATAAAGGCTAAGGAACAGCATTTTCAATAATAACAAACCATTCTGGCCTAACTCCTTGGGAAGTGTTATTAAGTGCTACAAAAAAAATATTAAAATTCACACATTTGGCGTTTTAAATATGAATTTTAAAAACATAAGTTGCTCTTTCCACGTGAACCTGTACCCAACAAAAAGAGAAAGAACTCCAAACGTACGGGCTTTTTCCATCAACAGCATGTAATGCAAATGAGATATAAATAGATGAAATAAAGAAAATCCTGAAGCATAAAAGACATTTTGAACGTAGAACCTATTAATATAAAATATAAAATGAATGACTTACTTTCCGGAACTGACGTCGTTTCTAACAGAGCCAGGGAAAGTGAGCCGTCCTCCTTGAGCCGTTGCCGTGACAAGGCCCCCAGATTTCATTCCTGAGATCGCATGGACAGCTGCTCTACACACTGCCGAGGTCTAGACATTGGAAACAAAATTAACAGTTCTTTTTTCTGATTCTTTATTGATTATTAATAAACAGAAGCGCGTTTTCATTAGTATAATAGCATTTACCAGCGATATCAAAAAGGAAAAGGCATTACTGTTTTTTTTCCCTTTTCCTTTTTTTTCGGTTAAAATTACATATGTATTTATACATTCAGTTCAGGAGACAAATACAGGTTCTTTAATACTATTACTGGGACTGTAGAGTTGAAACGAAAGCGATTTTTTCCCTCTGTGACCAGTCAAAGTCCTTGTGATAATTCCAGTAAAAGCTGATAAATATACAGACACCATGCCGCAGTGCAATAAAAATTATAATAAAAAATTGTGATAAGGACATTACGTTCTGTGCGTCGTCTGCGTACTTCCAGTAAAAGGTGGCAAATATACAGACAACATGCAGCGATGCAATATAATATGTTCTAGAAATGAATAAATGAAATGGAAAATGTGTTAATTAATAAAAGCATCTTAACAAACTATTTCAACTTGATTTATATATTTATCTTCATAAAAATAAAAACGTATCCTTACATTGGTGTAGACGTCACTTCCGTGGACCGAGCCTCCTTTGACACACCCAGCTGGACACTGAACTCTGGAGGGAGAAATTAACAGTCTTAACTGGGAGAATATCTTTTATATTTAATATACAGTGTGTGTGTGTGTGTGTGTGTGTGTGTGTGTGTGTGAATATTATCATCAGGTAGAACTACTAGACTTAGGGATACGATAGATCAGACAGACTTCGCCTTTCTTGACTACAGAACTGGAGCAACCGAGGCTATAAAAAAAGCTATTATGATGCGAATGGGAAATCCTACATGCATCGTTGAAAAACAGGTCAGGAGTTTTTTAGGCGAGGCAATGGAAACTATTCCTACCCATATGGCTCTAAAATGAGGGGACCAGTCGATCCAAACCTGGTGAAATGAATTCATTACTACGCAAGTTCCAGAACTTAGTTTATAAATGTTCACAGCAATAAATATAGCGGAAATAGTTTTTCAAACATTTAATAAGGCTTCTTCCAATAAAACGTGTTTAGGACGACGTTCATCCACGTGATTATCACGGAAATCTTAAGAAAAAAACTTTGTAATAACGCTTTTGCCACGTGGTAGTCGCAACTGCCACGTGGTAGTCATGTGACCTTCACGTGGCATGCTTGGTTCGTTTGAGTGGATTTTAAAACATGTTAACTAGGGAATAAGGCTTTACATGACTGAGGTTGACACACTAATTGTCAAGGTGGGCAATGAATTACTAAAAAGGAAAGACCAGTTTTGCTGTTGCTTGAACGAAGATATTTACCTGCAGTTATCCTCTCCATGCTGAAATTTGCAAGTGTCCGACCAACGGGAGTAGCAGTCGACGGCCATGACACAGCTCTTTTTCCCATCCTCGTGTACGTGACAGGTTTGGTGAGGTTCGCAATTGAGTCCGGCCTCCTTGCAAGCGCTGGTGGCTTCCGCGAAGCTGAAAGTTTCTGGCCAACGCTTGAACATCCTGTTTAAAAAATAGGGATGATTTTTAGTTTAATAGAGGTGCGCAAAAGGTGGTCATAACAATTGCTATGTTTTGCATAGATAACTAGATGGTGTTGATGGGTAGCCATTGCATATCCCCGCACTTCCTCATATTGTAAAGAGTAGCTCTCCCTCAGGGACCCCATTCCCGTGATACCTATTACAATGCCTGGGTCCAAAAGAGAGAGAGAGAGAGAGAGAGAGATAGAGAGAGAGAAAGAGAGAGAGAGAGAGAGAGGGTATTTCAAATTTTCAACTAAACTAAACTAATACAAACCTTCCTGTGGTCACTTCATTTCTGACAGTGGAGGCAAAGTGCACCTGTTCTCCCTGAGGAAGTGCTGTTACCACGCCTCCTTCATTGAGATCAGGTACTGCATGGACAGCAGCACGACACACGGCGGACACCTACAGAGGACAGATGAGAATGTCGCTCTCATGATATTATAAATTTTGATTCAAATTTTTAAGCCCTTAACTTTACTGGTTATTTTCTTTCAAAATTTGTCAATTTAAAACACAAAGAAAAAATTTGGTAACTTACTTTTCAAAACGTTACGAACCAATTTTTTTTATGAAAATGTACTTTGGCGGATTTTGTAACTCATATTTCTCAAAACTGTTGAGCACTCATCATATGCTAGGGTCAGCACTTTTCCAGTTTTCTAGACTAGCTTTCATGTGCCAAAAAGGCAAATTTTTAAATATTTGGAACCCTAACGTAAAAACATTTTTAAAAGCATTTAAAAAAACTTACATTGCTATAAATGTCAGTTCCCCATACACCTCCTCCGCTTTTACATCCGGAAGGGCAAATGACTCTGAAAAAGTACAGATTTTGTTATTAACGTCTTCTTTCTTTTACATCGGGCCATAGCCTTGGTCACATTTAAAACACATTCTCATGTTGATTTTTTTTTCCTTTATAGATAATATAGAGAACATTAAATCTCATACTGGACTATAGATCGCGGTTTAAAGGTGCACACCGCGGGATTTCCTGATATAAAGAAATTTTAGGGGTTCTCTTCAAGCGTCTGAAAATCCCCCAGTCATATATGTGTTCTGTAAAGCTTCTTATATTTCTTATTTTAGACGCTTATGACTATCAAACCCTATAAATAAAAGTTCATCAGAAGCGCACCTAGTGCTGTTATTATTTTTTCAGCATTCTCAGGTAGCCATTGCCAGCTTGTAACGTTTGTCTTATTCAAAGTGCCGCGTTACAAACAAGGCAATGCGCGTGGCGGCAGATGTCTTTCTATTTGACCAGCCAGTCATTTAAAACATAGGTGTTTAATTAAATTGGAACAACAAATCTAAGTGCAGGATCGGGTCAAGCAAAAAATGGAAAATTCATTTTGGCGAAAAAAATCCCGTGGAGAGCATCTTTAACCTGTAACAACTTAGTCCTTAGTCTGAATCCTACACACCTGCAGGGACCGTCGCCATAGTGAGATTTACACGTTATGCCCCAGTATATTCTGCAGTCCAGCTGCAACACACAGCCCAGTTTTCCGTCACCGACATCTTGGCAGGTTTGTTCAGGGCCACAGGGTGTGCCTGCAGTTGCGCATGCGCTGGTGGTCTCCACGAAACTGAAGGTCTCCGGTTTCGGCTTGTAATACCTGAATTATGATGAGTGAAAATGAGTAGAGAATTTAAGAGTTTACCCGCACGAAAACGAAGTAGATACTCCAGCGCAGTAGACTACTTCAATCATACTGCAAACATGCTTCAAATCTGCTTCGATTGGGGAGCTAATTAGCATATTTGAAACATGCTTCTATCATGCTGCTAATCTACTGCATTAATGCTCCTCCTCTGTACAACCCTATGTAATTTTTGAAGTAGCATTGCAGTAGGCTATACTGCATTTCTACTGCAAATATGATCCACACCACTACTGCGTTAATGCTTCTTTGCTACTTCGATACTACTGCATTTTCGTGCGGGTAATCAACACCACTGATATTGATATTTATTATTTCTATTAATTTCACCATCATTAAAAATATCATAAAGGGGCATAATTAATACTTGTTACTGCGTCGTAATATTTATTTTAAAATGTTACATTTACATATATAAGCCCTTTAATATTTCTGTAGCAAAACTTTTTTACTTAAAAAATCTTCAGTTAAATATTTCTCAAAAAGTAATGACAAAAAAGGGACAAAGACGCATGGGGCGAATGGTTTTGACGGAAAGCGCAAGGCAATAACAATTTCAATTCTTATGATCTACAACACTGCATATACATCATTAATGATGAAATAAAAGGTCAATACATACGCTCCTGAACCAATTTCGTTCCTGACGGTGCCGGCGAAGCCTTGTTGTTGTCCTTGACTGAGTACATTGACAACGCCGCCATTTTTCATGTCTGGAATGGCGTGCGCCGCAGCACGACAAACTGCCGAGTTCTGGAACATATATTTTGTTCAGTAAAAAAGTTAATTGACCAAGAGATTAAACTAAATTAATTGATTAATTAATGGTAAATTAAACGTTTTATTTAATTCTTAATTTATTAGGCACACATTTATTGAATAGACATTGTATTGCCCATACGTGTTTATAACACTGACAACAGTTAGTAATCGTCAGTAATCTTATGTATTGGCCAATGACTTACGCTTGTGTAGATATCAGAGCCATAAATTCCTCCTCCGTTTTTACAACCCTCAGGGCATAATACTCTGAAAAGAATACATCAGGAAAGATGATTGATCTTGAAGGATATGTAGACTAAAAAAACTTTTAAAAAAACATAACTTTGGGGAATTTTCAAACGCAGACAGCATACCTTTGAGAACAGCACAACAGAGTTTATCTATTCAGTCATTAACACTGAAACCCTCACCTGCATTTTTCCTGACCGTAGCGTACTTTACAGCTGTCCTCCCACGTCTGTCTGCAGTCCAAGGACAGGACACAGCCAAACTGACCGTCACCAAGATCCTGACAGGTCTCGAACGCCTCACATCCTCCGCATGCCTCAGAAGAACGCGCGATGCTGAAGCTTTGATCTATGTCACCGTAATGACTTAACAAATAGAACAAATTCGGTTATACAAAATTTGAAATGACTCAAACAGCGCAGACCTCCCCCCCCAAAAGAAAGACGATGTAATCCATCGGGAATATTGGGATACCCGAGTTCAGTTTAAACTTGTAATCATTTCTAACCCTGTAGACTCTAAAATCGATTCAATAAAATTTATGAAGAACTGTTTGAGAAATTGTATCCATTTACAAACAGGCAAACCAAAAATGTACCCTCTTTCGTTGGGTTGGTAATGAAAAAAAAAAGAAGGAAAAGATTTGTATATGTGAAATACCCACCCCATAGTACCAACACCGTTCCTGTGTGTTCCAGCTAGTGAAGCCTGTTCTCCCTGAGCGACGACGGTGACGATTCCACCCTTGGCGAGATCGGCATTGGAGTGAACGGCTGCACGGCAAATAGAAGATGCCTGGGATGAGAGCAAGAAGACGATTAGAGACATTGAAAGGGAAGAAAAAGATAAAAGGAAAAGACACGAATGCCTGGCTGTTTTGTTGTACTTATCTTAGCCTCATCCCCAATGACACCGTCGGTCCACCTTGATCGATCCAACTCTACGGGGACACTTGCTGAATGCAATCAGTTTAACATTAACACGCCTCCCCCTGGCGTTAAGTAGAGTACAGAAAAGCTGGTGATCACACGAGTATGTGGGAAATAAGTGGGAGCTGTCATTCAGTTAAGCTGATTGCACTTAACGAAGAGCTGGGTCGAGCCACGAAGACCGACGATGTCTATTCGGACGTGGTCTTAGGGTGCATTCCCAGAGATTTAGATAGATCCAGAGATTTAGATTTAGATCGACCTAACTCCCTGGTGGTTCACGCTAAATTGCAGTCAGCCGAGCGGGCACCATAGTTAATTACCCCCTTACAGCTTTTAGTAGGCGGGACAGACGCTTAAGCCGGCCAAGCTGACAGTAATCTAGTGAGACTCCCCACAGGGATAGATCGATCTAAAAATCTATGGAAATGGGGTGTTACAGATTACTGATCCCGATTGTAGACGTGTTAAAGTATGAAACCTAAAAATGACTGCTTTCTTTTGTTTTCTTTTGTGTGATCTTGAATGGAATTCGGTTAATCTGTCATGAAATAAATTACTTACAGTGCGGTATATATCAGTCCCCCACACCGAACTACCTCTCGTACACCCGGCTGGACACATCACACTAGATTGAGAAAATATAACAAAAATGAGGTCCTACACTCTTTGCGAGAGTTCAGTGCTTGCAAATTACACCTAGGTTATGAGAAAAATTAAATCTAATACTGGATGTTACGACGCAAATAACACCTAGATTCAATTAACACTGTACGTACTCCACGCTTTTTCTACATGAATATTTTATGTAATTAATTTATTCATTTACTGCAATAATTTCGATAATATTTTGGTACAGATGCCCAATGACATAATCCTACGTATTTAACGTACAGGCATGTTCCGTTCCTGTTGTAATCCTCACAAGAGTTGTCCCAATTCGCATTGCAGTCAAGCGGAAGTACACACGCCTTTTTGCCCTCCCCAACGTCGGTGCAGATTTCTCCAAGTTGACAGCCACCGCATTCATTCTCTTCCTCCAGAAAGGCAAAGGACGTCGATCTGGCTCCGGTGCTGAAGGATAGAAACAGGTTTGGTATATTATGTAATTTGTTTTTAATTTCTAACCAGAATATTTCTCGATTTCCACTGTTCCAAGTTTTGAAAGTTCAGGTTAGTCGGTGCCTGTTTTAATAGCATCATTTGTTATATATAGTGGCGCAATAGCTGATGGTGCACTGAAAGTTATTAACAGAATCTGTTATCATGCTGTATATTGCCTTAAACTTCACGTGATTTAGCACGTGTTTAGAATAAGATTTGGTGGAAACGCTGGTCTCGTTACATTATGCATTTAACAGGTGTTTGGAAAAAGGATTTTCATTACTTAATGGAACCTTAGGCAGGGAGGTGGGATGGGTTTGAAAGCACATTTTTCTGTCGGAAAATGTCCGCTCTGAGTCAAGGTTTGATTTACGTACTATGCCATTTCTAAAGTTTGGTCAAATAAGGGCATATGCAGATTCACTCCCCCCCCCAAAAAAAAAATATATATATGCCGGGTATAGGCCAGTTAATGTACGTAAACTGTGACCTGGTACAAAACATTATGTGATAATACCATGAAGTAATTATCTATACTTCCTTGGTACATGCAACCGCTTGTTTTTTCCAACCAAGAATTATATGTTTCATTGAAACGGATATTTACCTAAATTTAAGAGGAAAAGACTTATATTCATTTCCCTTTAAATGCTTGTAATTTCCAAGCCATGATGGTACGTTACACCGTGTCCACCATGCTTAAATCAGACCATTTTCATGCCATTCAAATTACAACATTAAAACGGGATTGAACACTATTTAAAGGAAGGTAAATTATCCATTTCACATGAAATGCCCATAATTGCTGTCCGCTGGTATAAGACATGTAGGTGGTGATGGTCCGCCTGATTGCAACATTTAGTTAGGCGGGTGGTGAAGGGTTTCGGTAGTAGGACATGATGACTTATTATGTAAATTACAGGAAATAAGAACTGTGTTTGGTTATAGAGTCATATACTGGTGGTAATACGGATGGGGTGCGATCTTTCTGATCTCAGATGGACGGGAAAACGGCCGGACTGACTGACTGGCGGAGAGGAAGAAAGGATGAAAAAGAAAGAGGGCGAAAGAAAGAAAGAATGAATGAATGAATGAAGAAAGATAAACAGACAAGCAAACAGATAAATAGATTGGTGATCTTGTTACGTTGAGAACTTAAAAGCATCACAAATTAAAGATAAAGCAAGTAATTTCCGAAAATTGGGGTCAATTTGTTGATAAGTGGGAGACGCGGGTAATGATGGAAGCAATAATTTGTCCAGAAATCTTCTCATTGAATGCCAGTATACGGGTTTATGACATGATGAATTGTAAAAGAAGCCGTCAATTGTTGAAACAGATGTAGTTGAAACAGAAATACAATACAATACAGTACAGTACAGTCATCCACAAAAGAGGATCAATTCCTTAGAAAATATCTGGAAATCATAATGCTTTTCACGAACTCCCATTCATCTGTGAGATATGGAGAAAATAAAACTCAAAATTCCAAATTTACTTATCCTGTCTCCTTCAGTAACCTCTACTGTTGAAACAGATGCCACGTGCATAGAAATGCACGACGATAAAACACAATACATTTACTTACGATTCTGATCTGATCCCGTTCAGTGAGCTTCCAATGAAAAAACGTTTGTCCTCCGTACCCATAGCAGCGACAAAACCGCCATCAGTGCCTGTGGCGTGTACATAGGCTCGGCAGATGGCGGAGTCCTGAGAAAAAAATAATATAGTTTAATTAGCCAATTCAATATGGAGGGAAGACTGGGATGATCTGATTCACCAAATGGGACCCAATTGGTGGCGGATAGATCAAGACAGAAACAGGTGGTGTAGGTCCAAGGAGGGTTTCCTCAGTGCGCGGTTCTACCTTTATTGATGTATTGATTGATTGATAATACAGATGAAGGGCCATCTATTGTCATAAAAATAAAATGACAAAAAATAAAAAAGAAATATTATAAATGGAAGAAACTGTTGGGAAATTATATAACGAAAAGGATGTGACTGTGAAAATATTTCAGACAAGCTGTTTCGACACAATGGCATGGAATGTGTTACACAAGGATAAACAAAATGTGGCGAGTGTGTTAGTTGTGCCAGTGATGTGTTAGTTGTGCCAGTGGTGTGTTAGTTGTGACAACGCTGATTGCGTTTGGTGTGATAGAATGAAATGGTTGTATAGAACTTCAGACTACTTACGCCAGTGTAGGTCCCCGTACCCCGGATTCTTTCTCCCAGATTGCATCCCTTAGGGCACATCACACTGAATGGCAAATGATTTGACAAAATTTAATGATAATTATTTAACAATTTCAAAGACATTTTTGTTTGTAAATTTTTAGTCTTTACAATGACGGAATCCAACCTTCATCCTTGTCTCGGGATTTTCACAGTCTTCGGTCCTAAGTTTAGAACAGCTTGTTATTAAATTGTCCTAAATATACCAAAGTCCATTTCTGTAACCCTTGCATGCCCTGGCATTGACAGTCTGTGTGGTTACGATTGTAAACATATTCCTATGAACATCAAATGAACAAAATGACGATGTCCCCTTACTAAGTGTGCAAAATCTGTGTATAAACCCCTGACAAGCCATATTAACCCTTAAAATAATTAAGCATATGGCAGACAGGTTCAACGATCTCACATTTTGGGAGAGTTCAATGTTTAATTATTTTATAACCTATAAAATCAGATTGTCGAACTCCTTGATTAAGGATGAAAGCTTTTAAGGCAGCTCCTACTTAAATGCAGCAACACACTTTTAAAATAAAAATACTATTTAAATATACGAACGCTTCGAACCTTATTGAATGTAAAACAGAATGCAACTTTCTGCACGTAAAAATGAACACCATGTGAATTAATTGAAAATGTCACATCGTATATTGCAATCTACATCGTATTAACTTCGTGTAAAGCTCTACCTACTTGCACAAGCTGCTGGGGAACAATTCTCCGCACACTTCCTCCCATTTCGTGAAGCAATCAGCAGGTAACGAACATTGCTCTTCGCACCTATGAAGAGAAAACGTACAGTTTAGAATACATATGTTGCTCATTATGTTCGTCATGATGATTGACAACACTTTGGCGCGTTACGTTCTTTCATTTTGTATCATTTTTCATTTTGTATTTGTCTTTTTTATCAGACTACTTGTTTATTCGTTCAACTTCATTCCTTCGTTCACTCCTTAACTGATTAATTATTTTTTTACTGATCACGATTTGAGCATTTATTAGTGCATCCCTTTATTTTATTGAGTTTTATGTCAGTTAATTCATTAGACTTTATATCAATCTGATATATTTTTTTACAAACGCCGTTCATATTCTTGAAAACTGGCATAAGAAAATGTCGAATTAAAACACACACACATACACACTCAAACACACACACACACAAACATACTCAAGGTGTCGCATGACCACCTCTGTGTGATGGGGTCAACTATATCCGGAAACCATCGGTTGTTTTTGTAACCGCAAATGAGACACGGAATTAGCCGAAGTTTACGGAAAAGGTGCCACAGATTTTTCACAAGAATGACCCAACGTAGATGAATATCTTTGTTTCTATTTTAATTTCATAAGGCTGGAGAAAGCTGTGTCAAACTCTGGCTTATCGTACAGCAGTTATCTAGGCGCTGATTCATTTTTGATACGGATAAAATGTCAGCAGGCAACATTTGACAGTGACCCCCCCCCCCCCCCCCCCCCCCATACTCACTACCTTGTTCAGTTTCTCACAAAAAAACTTGCACATGTACAACATCGGAGTTCGTATTTCAGCGGAATCTCAGTCACGTCTCTCCAAGCTAATCGTCTTTAATGATTGTCATATCTGTTTAATTTCATTTCAGTATTTTGCTTGACTTAAATTTACTTAAAATTGCGCCCTTGCAAATATCGTACGACGCACTCGCCTTGCTCACCCTTGCCACACCGTTATAAGAAGCAAAGATGAAATGGTGAAAATGTAATGATTAAAACTGGATTTAAATATCAACGATGATAGCTCCATACCATACATGTACAGAGACTTATTTCCAGTCAACAGGGGGTTGAATTGATTTTACTTACAAAAGCGACAATGTCAGCAACAGTAAAAATCAACTGTAACAATGCGGACAGGCGGCAAATATTCATTAGGTAACAGGAGTTGCTGACCGTTACGATTCTGATGACATATGGTAACTATTGTTCCAGTTTTTAACCACCCCGCCCCTCCCCTGTTGTTTTCGCACCGGTTTGGCGAGTACGAAGTCCTCAAGATTACAGGTCTGTGATGTCTTAGATGGAAGTTACTTCTGAGATAAAATCTTTGATACCATCTTTCCTACGCTTTGGTTAACTTGGTCGCTTCCGCCTAATACGGGAGTTCCAAGGTGTGTATAATTTGCTTCATCATCATAAGTTTTCAACGTTTATCAATTAACTAAATGTGGTTTTGCAAAATTTGACATTTTCGCTTGTGTAATCATTTACATATATATGTGTGGCTATTTAAACCAGATACAGACAAAAAATATGTCTTCACTCAAATAAATTGTTTTAGAATTTTATATTTTACACGTTGAAGTTGTTTTACAATTAAACTTTCTTATTTGTTGAAATGCACTACGTCAACTTAACGATACCCATTCATAAAAAAGACACGGATTCCAAATGCGTGCATCAGATTATTTTGTCGTTTTCGTGGTTTTTACTGTTTTGGTTCTTATATTTTTCCTTTTTTATTTTTTTTTCTATGTCACTTCTTAAGAACACGATCAGGTTAAAATATATATATATATATATATATATATATATATATATATATATATATATATATATATATATATATATATATATATATATATATAATTAAAATTTTGTGTGACCACGACATACAGTGTATTAGCAACACAATGAAAAAAACAATCGCACGACTTGTTTTTATAAATATGCTACCGTTTCTTTGTAAATAGTTTTATTTCATCTACCTACCTGGCTTGCAAAATATACACAGCGACGAGCAAAGCGTACGCTATCGCTTTCATCCTCTCTCTTCGTTCCTTTACTGGTTTTCGAATCAGCAGTCAGGTTGTGTTGTTCTATCCAACAGAAATCAGCGAAAAGTTGGTTCACAAAGTTCAATTCCGAAATTTTCTTTGGTAAGTTTTCGGCACAGAAGGTAGTCAGTACTTGTGTGCTACCGCGCCAAACGGAAAATGACCTTTCAAAGCACACTCACTCTCTTTTCATTCAGCTATCTACTGGTAAATCAGCGATCGGTTGAGCATGCGCAGTCCCGTGTCAGCAATCTACTGACCTCAGGTTTGTGAGTAGTTATCTTTTCTTTCTTTCTACTCTGACGTCATCCACGCACTCAATCAGAAGAAATCTTTGTGGTCCGTTTCACAAAGGAAGTTAGACCGAAACTTAGTCTTGATTTTAAAAGACCGAAAATCTTGGTGCTCTTCTGTTAGGATAAATCCTAGCTCCACTAAATCATTACTTATCATATGACGAAACTTAAGTTTCCTCAACTTGAACTATTCGCACTTCTTAATAACTGGATCAAAGTAGAATGATGATATTGGCTTTAAAGTCAAGACCAACGTTCGGTCGAAAGTTTCTTTGTGGAAACATCCCCCTATCTTCTTGTCATCAGTGACCCGCGAGGATTGTCAACCCACACGTGTCTTCCCGCATCTACTTACTGCCGTTCACGGAAAACAAGACCCGTTATCTCATAGCCGAGTTGGTTGCAACTACCGCGACTTCTTCCTGCTTTCACCGACCCAGCGACGCGTACCGAACTCGCTGTCCGTAAAATGTTTTATGTTTGAGACTATGGTCATGGTATTACGCTTATGTAAACATAAAAATGTGTAATAAAGAAACAGATAAATTGATAAATAGAAATAGATAATTTGAAATAAAAAAAAATATAAATTGATGAATAATTCAAGTTTTGCGGTGATTTAAGATAAGATTATATAAAAAATATCAATATTGCAATCTGATTAATGTTTTTAGGTTCACATATTTGTCGCAATTTACTCAGTACTTGGCAAGGTTCATTTATCAATACATTTTTGTGCACATTTGTTTAAGTTTTTCACACCTATCCGATCACATTGTGTAATTCAAATTAATTTTGAATTATTATTTTTGTTATTCCCACTCTAATTCATGTTGATATTAACACCATTATTATTTATATTTTGTTAAAACAATCAAAAATAATTTTTTTGCAGCAAAACGGCATCACTATAAAGCGTATTCATAACGGCACACCGGTGTCACAGTTAAATCATAATTTCTTTTCACCATAGTGGCTATATCCATTAATCTAAGATAATTAACTGCCAGGCGATCTTATTGTCGGTTATCTCAGCGATCTGTTCTACTTGAAAGCCCGTGACGTCATGGTGTTACGTCATCAGCAGGTCTCCGGTAAGCAGGTACCTTCAGTTTGGTAATTATCCTAATGTGCGTCATTGTCTCAGTACAGTAGAATATAGTGGCATTCCCGGCGTGTTGCATTCGCTGAATAAAGAGAGGAAAACAGGTTTTGGAAATTATTGGGCGGGGTGGGTAGGAAGAGGGGGGTCATTAATGACACGGGTTTTTCTTCTTCATTGTCACATTTTTATGAATGCCCGTTTGATGCGATTTGAATATGAAGCTACAAACACTGGAAATATTGTCGGTAGAAACATCGCTTTATCTTCAAAACATACATGTATGTCATATTTTATCACAGTGGTGCTTCAAGAGGAGGAGCACACCAATGATTCTGATTCCAGCGGAAGGACCAACTTTCATTTAAAGCTAAGATCGAATATACCGTTTATTAGATCTTAGTTTAAAGTTATTTCGTGAAAACTGTCTAGCCCCCTGGACTGAGTAGCGTCACGCCGAGTGTGTTGTGACCATATCAACTCTTCACGCCACCGCAGCCATGCAGTCATTTACATTTAACCAGGGACGCGTACCATGACACTGCTTTATTTAAACAAAGCATTTGGCTAAACATCGGCCTATCCCTTTTAACTTGACGATAAAGTTTATGAAACAGTGCCACAGTTACATTTCCTCAACCAGGGGTCTTCTCACTCTTCTCTAGTTGTTACAAAATTGGGTGAAGGTCTTTCGTTCAATTTCGTACATTAGGAAAGACCTCTGGTAAAGTGAATTTACTGCCCTCCACTCACTGTCGTATCCAAGATGTTGCTTGGGGTGGGACAAAAACTGCCATTCCTAGTTTTTTTTTTTTTTTTTGGTAAATATATAATTATATGTCATTACATATTAACAATCACATGTTGGGATCAGGGATGAAAATTGCTTGGGATTCTCTTGTTCTTTCTGTTGATATGTTTTTTTAAAAATTTTTTGAGGGGGAGGGGCGCCCGTGGCCCACTTTGTCTGCTCTCCAATTTCCCATTGATCTACTCTCTTTGAATTGGTTAAAATAAAGTAAACAGCAGATACTTAATTTGCAATCTCATCAGTAATCATCAGTAGGCCTTCTGATTAATTCTGACACACGGTACCGGTCTTTTCTTGAGGTACGACCGTAAGGGCATAAAGGTCTCCAGTTAGCAGTTACCTTCAGTTTGAAGGATTAGTTCATAAACGATCAACGAAATTATGTTTTGGAGCTGCTTTTACTTGAAAATAAAAAGGGTGCCAGATGCTTTTAACACTGTCGCCGTTTTCTGTACACGCGACCCCTGCTGGCGCAACTCAAGAGCCAATAATTATGTTTAATAAGTTTTTCTTTTATTTATTTGTTTGTTTTTATTTATTTATTTATTTATTTGCGCTGCGCTCAGCATTGTTGACAGCGGTAAGGAAATTGTAGCAAACTGTCATATCTGATATCCCTTGCCAGGTTATACAGGTGCTACTGTCCTTAAACTTACGTCATCGCACGTGCGTTATCGTCGCGAAGCACTAGGTTCTGCCACGCGTGGATTGGCGCTGTTCCCGACCACTGACCACCTGGCAGCTTTGGTCTGCTGGACAACAACGCTTGACCAACGGCGGGTGCCTCCGATGTCAAAAACAACGAACAACGATAAGTATCTACAACAACAACGACGACTGAAGGGGTTCAAAAACTTGTTTGGCGATACTCCGCTTCACTGTTTGTGCTGACGCAGATTGGAGTCCTAGATACCTTGCACGTATAATAAGCAATTTTGTCAAATAAAAAAGTAGATATTTTATAATCAACTCTTATACGGTTTCAATTATTTTAATTTACACTATTTTTCCTACTCATTTTTTTTTTTTTGTTCCAAGATCTTGTCCGTTCATAACATTTTAATTACTGAATGTAGATAATATTATGTTGGAATACTGTAGGTAATATGATAATTACATTCTCTAGTTTTTCGTGTTTAGCGACATATGATATTTCTCGAAATGTAAAGCATAGTTTAAAATTTTCGAATTCCCTTTTTTGATTCGAAAGAATTATAAATTCAGAAGTTAACTGCTCTCCCCTGACTCACACTCCCTCTATCCCATTATAATTTTAAAATAAGTTATTGCGGGGCGGGAGGGGGGGGGGAGTGCAGTTACACAGTGACATTGATCAAGGTTTATCCAGGAAAAGCTAGTTAAAGATTTTTCCCATTTACTTAATCAATATTATTTTTCGTTTGTAAAATAAATAAATAAATAAATAAATAAATAAACTACCTAATTAATTTATTAATTAATAGTAAATAAATAAATGCTACAAAATCTTATTTACCCCAAATTATGGTCGGTCACGCTCATTAACCAGTGTATCGATTTGCAGTCCTCATTTTCCAATAATTAACTGGACTCAAATATCATAAGGACGTTAACCATTTAGCAGGTGCGCCAACAACGCATTGCAGAAGTGTTGAGGACCCAGCTAAGTCTTCCTTTTAATGTTTTAACTCTACAGAGTTAACAGGAAATCTAAAATATGCTGCGTTTGAACAATCTTTATTGCAATGTCTATCATCTTTTTACTACCGTTTGGGATTCTCTCATTAGAAGTTAATTATATTAAAACTAATGACTGCCATAGATTCTAATCTAAATACTACATTGAGAATCACAATCTGGAGATCATAAGGCAGACTACATTGTAGACCTAGACTAATGTTACCCTCCATCTTCTTTATCTACTTTCACCTCCACAAAGTTTTACTAAACAAACAAACATACATAAATACTCATGGAATTGTCTGTACATACAATTTACATAACTCACCCTGAGTTTCTAAGTTTACTGGAAACTGGCAACTATTATCAGTATACCTTGGCCAAGTTTCTAGTTAACTCTGATATTCAGGATGTCATAAAATGTCATTTGGTGAAGAATGTTTCTTTTGGCAACATCAGAATGAAAATACTGCATTTAAACCTGTACTTGCCAAGAAGAAAACATTATTTAAAAAATTTAATAATATCAAAAAATTCAACATATAATAATAATAATAATAATAATAATAATAATAATGTAGAAATACGAATTAAGACAATACTTCCGATTTTCCTGAAGAAGCCTTCTGCTAATTTGCCAAAAGGTACTTTTACAATACAGAGCTGGCAATTCATTTTTTCATTCTTTTTTTTTTAATACAAATAATCAGGAATTATAGTTATAGTGCTTTTCCTGGTTTTGTAGGTCAGGCAGAATGAAAAAAAATTCAGGGAAAAGATAAGAATATTCTTTGCAAACATCTGAAATAGTATATCCCAACCTAGAAAAACGTAGAGATCCACATCAAAGCAGTTCAATTTTCATTATCAAATAATTAATTAATTAAATTATGGACCACCACCAACTTTCTGGCCTATCCTGACAATTGAATCAAAACTCATCCACTTCTTGAATTATAAAAACCAAAGCAACAAACACTAAAATAGAACCTCCATGGCAGAGGTACAAACATTTCAGCTCATGTTCAAATATCAGAAAATAATATCACTCCTGCACATTTTTCCATACTTAAATCCTCATCTCCATAAAATTGCATAAAATTTTCTTATAAAATTTCTTATACATGTATTGTTTACATATTTTAGACTATTGGTTTGTACCTTGAATGCTAAGCCATACAATCAATAGATTATATTCCACTATTGTATTATTTTCATATTAATTAAATTACAACACAGACAGGTAATACTCACGAGTAATTGGCTTTTTTTTTTTTGGGGGGGGGGGGGGGTAGAATAGATTAGGCTGTCATTGAGCCATACCAGTCAGAAACAAAATTTCTTGTCGCTGCATATAACATTTTGGCAAATTTCTTTTCAATAACGTCATAAATTGATTATTCAGCAAATTAAGCAAGTACAGGCAGTTACAGAAGTACCAAAACAACACTTTTTCCATACAAGATGCACAGTTCTTTGCAACATATGTGGCCTCTCATAACTTCAGTAATAAGTCAAGGATTATCTTTTTATAAGTGTCATCATAATAAATATTTATACACTAGGAACATGATGACACAAGTCACAAACATTCCTCCATAAAGAATGAATTTATCTTGGTACGTTCTTCTCTCAATCAGTCTCATGACAGTGTTGGACAAGCCTAAAGTATTCACAACGTCCAGAATTTTGCGCTGGGCGCCCTTCAGCGTCCCCCTCTGGTCTCGCAGACTGGTCAGTATACTGTTCCCACTGCCCAGTAAGTTGTCCATGTCCCTGTGGGAGGACTGGAGACGGTCGTGGTGTTTGACGGCAGCGTCTATCATGACGGAGGTGTGGTCATCGTTGGCGGTGAAGGACTGGCTGAGGAGCTCTTCGCGTTCTCGTTCTTGTTCTTCCTGCTTGTACCTGAGATCAGGATAACAAGAGCAATAGTAAAATAATTTCACGCACTTTACTCTTTTCTTTTTATCCCTTTAGATAATTGCTTAAGCTCTACTACTGAATGTTATCTAACCCAATCTACAGAAAACAATATGGTGTCTGTGCTTTTGCACATTTTACTTTTGTTTGGACTTAAAACAAACTGTACTGTCTTTTCTTCTTTTTCTCACTGTCTCTCACTCACTCACTCACTCACACTCTCTCTCTCTCTCTTTCTCACCTGCGATGCTGCATATTCCTCAAGGCCACCTGTAAGTGCTGGCAGTCATATTTCAGCTGATCCACGCGAACCTTGGCATTGGGGCGTCGCGTAGGAGGTTCCTTATTCACAAGAATGTCTAGGCGCTCACAGTGGCTGACTATCTGGTCTATTCGGGCCTGTATTTCATTCTCTAGTAAATGCGTCTCCCCGCCAGCTGCTCGTTCTAGGCGACCAAGCTCTGACTGCACCTCTTGTACCAGCCGGTTAGTCTGGTGGTACAAAGCGTCCATTTCTGCTATCAGTGAACCGGGCCAGCTGTCTTATGAATTACGAAAAATGCGAAATATTAAGTTGATAAACTCAGTGTTCCATTCAGAGAAATGAGACACATAAAAATGTCGTCATTTCATAAAGAACTTGCGATCGACGTGTCCGGAAAAAACGACCTTGAACTTTGGAACTGCTCCGCAGATTGTATAGCTGCTACCAATTATTTATTGAAATTTTCATAAAGTTAGATAAATAATCTACCCGTATTAAAATAAAAACTATTTTATACAATTTCAAAAATTTAAAAGGGAAAGTTTGGTGGTTATTTACTTATTTTCTTTCGTAGAGCAGGAACGGAGTAATGTACACAGAAACGAAACCGCCGACTGTATGGTTTTGGACAAAACTGTCGCTGTCTTTTTATTGAATTACTAGAATATGTTGTAGAGCAAATCTTATTTTGTGCATGGTTGATGTTCTGAAACGTAATAGCATTGGTTAAAACTGGTGATGCCGAACAGAAAAGACGCACTTTGGGCAAAACAGGTATGTCTTTTTTATTTTTTATTTGTATGGTCAAATTAAAAAATACAGACATGTACAGTTCATTGCTGCCTGCCTCAACCACAATTTTGCAATGTCTTGTGTAGATTTTATTTATAAAAGATGGAGAAAAACACCCTGGTGCTTGGTAATTTGAATAAACATTAATTCCTATCATGAGGAAAATCGTATATGATTTTCATGATACTATGATAGAAATTAATGTTCATTCAAAAAGAACTCTTGAAACTATTTCAGCAGCAACGTCATTATTGTCGAGGACAGCACATAGGGGTGGAGAACAGAGTGACGGAGTTTAAACTAGGACGAGGGAAGACACGGCATGTGTCACGCATGGTTAGTGTGTGAACTTTAGATACTTTTAGATGATGTACTTTTTTTTTACACTGAGCAGTATGCTTAGAACTTAGAGGGAATTCATAATTAGTTCTGTGGACTAACAGATCTGCGGATCAAATATGGCCAACCCACATTAAAGTAGAGCTGACTAATCTGCTGATGGTCTCCCTGCCTTCCTGCAGAGGTCTGGCAATTAAACCTCATTTGAATCCCTTTAATGGGGAGGTTGGGAGACCATTAGTGGATTGCCGTAGTTGGCTCTTCTTTTATGTCAGTCAGCCATATTTGATCCACGGATCTGTTTGTCCACTGATCAACTTGTTATAAATGCCCTCTTAGACATAGTCCGCACTGATTCACAATAGAAGATCTGAGTATCAACTGGTTCAAGGATTAAATATGGCGGACCCTACATGAAATAGAAGACCGCTTAATCCTGTAATGGTCTCTCTGCCTCTCACGCGTCACCCCTGTAGGGGCACAGTAATTAAATCTCAGCTCCATTTGACTGGACGTGTAGGGAGGCGAGTTCCTGGACCAGTCGATTCTCAGATCTCCTATTCTTACTCAGTATTTGCTCCTTAGAATGACAACTTGGCACCCTGGCTATTACATAAGAGAGTCACCTAAACAAAGCATTTGCAATCCTTTACCCAGCAATTAATAAACTTTCAAATTAAACAGCTGGAAGGAAACTTGTTGAGAATTCGCAAAAGGGAGTATGTAGCCATCCCCCCTCACTCAATCACCTGTAATATTATATTACATTAGGACTGAGATCTTACATTTAATCCTAGGATTACACATGAAAGTTTTAATTCCAATATTGTCCTGTAACAGCAACAGTGATAATTCATTTTGAAATACGATATAAATTTTTGTAATGAGTAAATCTAATATATGTTTACTTAGTAATAAATAAATTAATAGTAATAAATAAATCATTTTTTCTCTATAAGTTTGTGTAAGGTATTCTTTGGCATTATATTTAAAGGTTGGGTTGTATACGTGTGCCTTCCTGAATACTGAAGGAGGAGACCTGTATATTGGGGTGGATGACAATGGTGAGTGTTGGTTGTCCTGTAGGTACATGTAGTATCAACCAGACATGAGCTTTTTCCTTAGTAACACGGAATTCCGCATTTTTTAATTCAATTTTGATGGTTCCTGAGATTTGTTAAGATCTGCAATAAAACGATAAATGATAAATGTTCAGAGGGTTTTTTTTAAGCCTAGGCTCACATCTGATCTGCTCTAGTCAATATGAAATATGGCAGAAGAGTACAATTTCACTGTAATATGTAGAGAAAAATGGTGGAAAATTGCTGTTGTGGCTTGTTTCACTTCATATATATATATATATATATATATATATATATTGCAGTCATATGTATTGCAACAACGCAGGGATTGTCCCAGCATGTGTGTGAATAAGTACATGTGTGCGCATGCATGCCTTAAAATGCATCAGCAATCCATCTCACTATTTTTTAAATTATTATTTCAAAGGTATTGTTCAGGGGATTACATGCAACCAGAGGAGAGAAGATCAGTTAAGGCAGAGTATAGATGGAATCATTAAGGGAATGAAACCTGAAGTGTTTCCTGACATGTATCAGGTGGACTTTGTACCTGTTTATAACCAATCAGGGGCACATGGTAGGTGGCGCCATCTATCTTTGATTTAGAACTATGATGGTCAAGGTGTCTGCTGTGTTTTAGGCAGCATAATACATGTATTTAAGAGATGCTTGTTGATTTATCTATTTGGGTAGACTGGGTAAAAATATGCCTCCTGCCCCACCCTCTTTTTGCAATCATGAATGGATGACATGGTGTGTGTATGTTGGGAGGGAGGGAGGGGGGGGGGAGGTGAAGCTAGAGACAGCTCCCAAATGGGTGGTTTTTGGATTTGGCATACTTTGTACCTTGGTGATGAAGGAAAGTGCTGAAATTTTCAAAAAAAAAAAAAAAAAAAAAAAAAATTAATTTTTGCTACATGTACGCAAAAGTCTGATACTCATTGTGCAATTTCAACAATTAACCATTGCATGTACTGAGTAAGTGTGTAATTGTCTTCCAGTGCTGCGTGATATCAAAGTGATACTGGTGCAGGTTGTGCTGTCACAGTGCAGTCGGCTATTTGAGTGCAAGGGGCAGGTGTACATGAGAAGAGAGGGCAGCATTCAGAGACTGGCACCACATCAGATACAGGCGTGGGTTGAAAGGGTATGTGCTAAAACCCCCTTTTACACTGGATGGCGGCCTTTTCGCATCCTGCATTGAGAGTAAAAAATATACTTTACCTGCTGACAACTGGCTGAGCATTCAGCATTCATTCTGCAACCACAGTGTTGCTTGTGCCACCTTTCAATGACCACAGCGATGCCCGTTTCATGGTCACAGAAAGGACGCCGTCTAGTGCAAAAGGTGTTAAATTGGATTATTATAAATGAGATGATTGCCTTCTTGTTGAAGTATCATGTTGCAAAGTGTAGCTTACTAAAACATGTTTAGCTTTCTTAAAATAAATCATGTAGCACAAATATGGTGTTTGATGGTATCAGTATAAAAAAAAACAACTACATATTAAGTTTAATTATTATACTGAGTATAGACCTGACGGTATATTTTAAGTCATATTCATCGTTATAAACTTGTATATTCTAATATGGATTTCATTTTGCATGTACATGTATATACAACAGCCAGCTAGTCTGATTTAAAGTCGTTCATGCATGCTTGTTTATAGAAAGTGAAAGAAGACTACAGAAACAACAGCTTAGGAACAGAAGAGGGCAGGAGGATGGATGGAGATTCCTCAGTCAAATTACAACAGGATCAAGATGAGAGTCTTCATGAACAAGTTATGAAACTGAAACAAAAGGAAGAAGAACAAGAATCATTGCACAGTGATTCCAGTGATGACCTTGAGGAGGATGGGGATTTAGGTCATGATTTCTCAAACTACAACACAGACCTAAGATTGCTACCGAAAATGATGAATTCAATAGATGAAAAACTTGTAGAAATAGAAAGACGATTGGAAGCTTTTCAGAATAATCAAAAAGGTTCAAAGGTATGCATAATTTTATGACATCTGCTAATAGGTAGTGGATGTAATATTTATCCAGGGCCTTTTTATCATCAATGCTAAGCACTGAAAATGGAAAATATCACCAGCATATGTAATTGAAATTGTCCAACCTGCCCCCCCCCCCCTTCCATCAAGTCATACAGAATTGACTATTTGTAACCCCTCAAATTAAAAAGAGCCATACCATCTGTCACCACTCAATATGGGAAAAACTCATCCCATCTTTAAACTTTTAAATCAAATACTCACCCAACCTGTCATCTCTCAAAATAAATAAAACTCATACTACCTGTCACCCCTTATATATATATATATATATATATCACAAGCGTGAGTGTGGAACAGAGTGCTCAACAGTCCGGAGCGTTTGTATATATATATACCATTAGTCCAGTAACTTTTTACTGTTCCATGCTTAGTTACTTCATGTGTCCATGTAAGCTGTGTGTTTATGTTTATGATCCCGAATTCACCAGTAGATCGGACCACACTACCCGTTTTCAAGGTGTGCGTCAGTACGCATTTCACGTATCATACCCTGGAACAAATTTTGAGATGAGATGCACTACTTACCAACCCCGCTGAGAATCATCACTATCACATCGCATACTAAGCAAGAGCGGTGTCATGTCTGATACTTCAAAGTGCGTTCTGATGCATTCCTTGAAAACTGGTAGCATGGTCCGCTCTACCGGTGAATTCAGGATCATTCGGTGCCGAGTCTGGTAGTTTGGTAGGCCTGGTTATTATAATGTCATAATATCTGTTTGAAACGTGCTGTGTACTACAGTGTTAAACATGAGTCTATGTGTGGCAATGTCAGCATTTCTTTAAGTAAAGATCTTTTAGTAATGTGATTATGTCTTGGTATGAAATACCCGTTTTTTTGTTTTTTTTTGTGTGTGTGTGTGCATCATAATATCTAGTTGTATTGTGTTGTGCCTTTGTAATGAAAGGTTATAATGTATTTTATAAATGGTACAAGAGAGAGTATATTTTGTATAATGTGCTCATTTATTTGCTACGTACAGTAAAAACTTGAAAATTTAGTCTTGAATTTTTTACTGAAAACGATTCTCTGACATCATTTCTTTTACTTAGAAAATTTTCTCAAACTTAAAAATAGGCCCCTGGATAATTTTGAAAAGTTCTACACCCGACATTTCCACATTGAATTCAGGTATTTTCAAATATTATTAATAATAATTAATTTTTAAGTGACAATGTTTTAACTGTAATAAAACTTTTTGAAAAAAATTAGTTATGTGGACATTCAGAAAATGTAACTAGCTCAGACTCCATAAAACATTAATAATTTATTTACTGTTTAGGTATATGACGTTGCCCTTTGATTATATCAAGCGAGAAAGAATTTGCCTTAACCTGTCTATTTTTCTAAATGATTTGCAAAATAGAATAAAAATTTCACCTTTGAATTCATAATCTAAATGTATCTACCAAGCAAGTTGGTTTAATCTTTATCATAACTAATAGTCACTTATTACAAGATTCATTGTAAAAGACCACAAATGTTAACAAATAAGTCGTAATAATTGAGACAATGACTACTGGCACCTAATTCCTAACACAAAAGATAATATTTAATGCTACTTACAAATAGCACCAGTTTTCTTTTTCTTCAGTTTTTTTTATTTTTGTCATATAGCTTTTGGCTATTTGACCCAGATTTACAATCTTGGATGGGAAATTAAATGATAGTCTTACAGCTAGCTCTACATTTTGACCTTACCTATAATCCCGCAGTGTGCAACCTAACACAAACCCTATGTTTGAGACAGAAAGTATGGGCCCTTTTATATATCAACACACGCAGCTTTCTATATCACACCAGTTTGAGAGACAGACTTGGAGAATTGTTTAAACAAATTATTTTTGATTGGTACATTGGAGTTTGTGAAATGGAGTACTGGTAAAAACCTTCCAGTAGTGTATAATTTCATGTTGGGACCATTCAAACTAGTGTGATACAGAAGCCTGTACGGCCTGATGTCAAGAACTGTTTTCTGCAAGATGGTGGCNGGAGAATTGTTTAAACAAATTATTTTTGATTGGTACATTGGAGTTTGTGAAATGGAGTACTGGTAAAAACCTTCCAGTAGTGTATAATTTCATGTTGGGACCATTCAAACTAGTGTGATACAGAAGCCTGTACGGCCTGATGTCAGGAACTGTTTTCTGCAAGATGGTGGCTATACCCACCAAACTTTTTCTGTGATGAAGAAATCGAGGTCTGATTAAGCCCAACCTTTTGACATCAATTGTCTGACTTTCTGTCTGATGTCAGATATGTCCGCCAATTTGAAAAACATGATAAGATGTTGCCGCCGTTTTTCAACTGTTCAGTCAAGGACTAATCAGGACCAAAAAAATGGCAAAATTTGTCTTATCAGATGACCATATTGTATAGAAAAACACCCACTGTATTGATTTCCAGTCTAAAAATAATTCCAATCTGAACGATATGACTTGAGTTAGTAGAAATGTCTGAACATAACCAAAATACACTCAGTGACATGACTAGAAAAAAAAACTGAATTATTTGGTAGGTTAAAAGTCACCGAAAGGGTTAAGAGGCTCGGGCTTTGAAATTCTCGGGCCTGTGTTCTCTGGAACAAACTGTGCAGTCTGAAATACAGAAGAAAAAAATTTGAAATTAATTCTTCACTCATAAATAAGTATCAAAAAGTTTTCAAAATATAAGTTTTCCAATAGAGTAGAGGATTAAACAGTGACCTAAACAGCCAATAACAATAAAAACAATAATAATAATGAATTATTTAACATTTATTCTGTTTACATTTATGGGCACTTTTAACAACTGTCTAATTATTCATTTACTTATTATCAGTAATTAAAATGGGAATTTATTAACCTTAAAGACTCCTCTTCCAAAATAGTCAGCCACCACTGAGAAACCATCTGTGGACCTCTCAAGCTGAAATACAAAAGTTGTTATCATTGGCTGCTTTGCAGACTTCTCAAGCTGAATTACAAGACCTGATATCATTGGCCAGGAAGCAGACACGAAGCAAGTGCTGCATCGTGAGAGTAAAATATCCATGTACTTGTCAAAGAACATTTCATCTAAGAAAAAATCTTAGGGTCAGAAGGATTCTTATTCCACACAATAGACCAGTGAAAACTGAAAACACTGAAAGTAAAATTGTGTGGAGAATATCTCAAATATCACACTCATTTTATATCACGATTTTCTCAAAATCAGTAATTTCTTCACAGCAGAAATTGCACTATCAATCATGAATTCAACCACCTTTTAGAATGTTACAATTATATATATGGGTAATAGTGTCAAAAACACTATTTATTCATAAATTTGTGTCTGAATTTAGTGAGTAATTCCCTGAACTACTTCTCACCTGGTGGTGGAATTGTTCATGTAGATCTTTACTTTGTTCTTGAGCACGTATGATGTCCAGCAGCTTCCTAGAAATGTGAGTTAAAAAGTAAAAATATGGGAACATTTTGGCCAAAAGGTAGTACTTTAAATGATGTTTGTTTCAGCAACTTGTTAACTGAAGAGTATAAAAAGCCAGGTAATGCCTGAAATCAACTTTTAAAAAATCTTAAAAAGAAAAATAACTCTCCTCTATTCATAACTATTTAACTTAAAAAAATAATTTAATAAGCAATACCTACTGATTTTTTAAAAATATTTTTTTGGTTCTCAATTTTGAATAAAGAAACATGACTTCCTGTCCTACTTAGCCCCTCCAGCCACCTGACCATGTTTCAATAGCATATATTGACTCGACCAACTTAGGTATAATTATGAATTTATTTTTGTTATATATTATGCATATTCTTGGCTTGTAAAAATACTGTGTACTTTCTGCTCACATTGGAATAAATTATCTATCTAGCTTGACCATGTGGACCTGGGCACTGCTGACCACTCACCTGTTCTCTGGAAGACACACTGGACACTCTGCCTCATTGTCTGAGTAACTCTCAAAGCAACTGGAAATATATTTTAAAGCAAATAAATAAATAAATAAATCAACAAATTAATAAATACTGCCTGATTTGTGGCCATACATAGATGAAGTCAAAAACAAACAAACAAACAAGATTACTGTTCATGAATTTTTAAGGATTTCCATTTGCCTAGTGCTTCTTATTTTCATGTATTTAAGACAATAATAATAATAATAATAATAATAATAATAATAATAATAACTTACTGTTGATGATAAGAGTGCTGACACAGAAAGTGGACAGAAGGAAGTTCCAATCCGTAGCCACAAGCACTACATTTAGACACCTGGAAGATCTTTGCACTGGGAACAAGAAATATGCACTGGTATATGATCTGATATTTAATGATACTAAAGACTCATTGTCTATCACTTGCATACTGATATCTATCAGTAGTGAGTTTCAAGTTGGCTTTGAAAGCCAACACAAAATTGTGAAGAAAAGAGATGGCAGTGTACCTTTTTCAAAATCACAGAAATTTCAGAACTAAAAATGTGCAGCTGTGTTTGTGTATGTGTAATGTGTGTATATACATGAGTGCCTGTGTGTGTACGTGTGTGTCACGGGGGAATGTGGCCATAAATCTTCATCTCTACAGGAACATGAGGATAAGGAAACCCGTTATTTTGATGTGCCTCTACCACTGTGCTTTTTAGAATATTTTCGACAATAATAAATACAAACTTACCTGGTTTTGAGTTCCTCTATTTGTTTTCTCATCTTCTCAGTCTCCTCTCTATACTGATTGATAAGTCTTTGGTCCTCTGCAATCTGATCACTCTCATATTGTAGACGGCGAGTGATGTAGTCCTAATTGTAGAATTATAATAAGAGATGGAAGTAGACCTTTTAAAAATTGCATAAAATGCAAGCTTCGAAAATGTGAAGCTGTTTGTTTGTGTTTGTGTGTGTATGGAGTGGCAGTGGTGGTGGTGGTAGCTTTGCCATAATTTGATCTTGTTGCTGTGTCCTACCGTGGAACTTGTTGCTAGGTCCTGTTTCAAAACTATATCTTACCTTGACAACAGCCAGCGTTGCCGTGGAGCTTGTTGCTAAGGTCTGTATAACAATGAGAGGAGGAAGTAGGTTCTTCTTATCAATTTGGCTGAGAACTTCCATCATGTGAGTCTTACAATTCTCCTCCTTTCTGGCAAAGTATGCCAAAGCTTGTGTCCACAGATTTTGATCTTTATCCCTGAAATTGTAGAAGTTGTCATGTTATCCGACAAAAAATCAAAATGCTCTTCGTGGCAAAGTATTTGTCACTGGTCCTCGTCTTTGTAATGATAATGTTTTGTTCAAACCAATTTTCTTACATGAATAAATATTAATATTATGTAATAGTTCATTTCCACTCCCATGCCCCCCCCCCCTCCCCCCAAAAAAAAGCCTCATACTTACCCAAATCTCTTACATGTGTCTATGACATGTACATACTCATTGTGTTCCATGTGATAACGTAATATCTGCTGGTATCTGAAAGTTTAATATCGTTATCACTTAATAACTTTGAACAACAAGAATCTAACCACCTCCACCTTCAATCAATCAATAAATCAATCAATAAACAAATAAATAAACAAACAAACAAAAGTTTTCAAAATTGTCAGTAACACTAAAAATGTTTAAAAACTTTTGTTGTATTTGTGTCAGAAAGTACATTTTGTGAGTGTCAGAAAATCATTATTCTTGAAATTAAAAAAAATATGACAAAAAGTTAATAGGTTTTGTAAGTTTTCAGTAACTCCAATATTTACTGCTTATATATTATAACATAAAATACCCATCATATAACTTACAGTCTTGCCTTCTCATACAGATACAGTATTCCAGCCTTGAAGTTGTTCATCTGGCACAATACCAAAGCCTGGTCCAGGTCGTAACCCGCCTAAAATATAGAACAAACAACCTGGATTTCTCTTATACCAAATCCTACCTTTTAATAATAGCTTTATAGTATTAAGTACAGAGAAAAGTTATACCAAGTAGGGCTGACACAGCTTGTATCTGAACATGCACCCAGACGTTCCTATTAACATGTGGATACTTACATCAGGGTTCTGTAGCAGGTCCAGTGTCTTCCTTTCCCTCTCTGTTTTGGAGCTGATGTCAGTCTCGTGAACAATGCAGTGTAGATACAGTTCCAGTAGCGTGTTGTACACCAGAGCTGGAGAGTTGGGTTGGACCTAAGCAAAAAACAAGGAGTACTATGAGTGTAGATACAGTTCCAGTATTGTTGGGTTGGACCTGAGCAAAAACAAGGAGTACTTAGAGTGTAAATAAAGTTCCAGAAGTGTTAAAAATTCACCTGTTTTGAAAATAAAAAGAAATGACTCATGTTTTAGACCAACAGTCTCGGTAACTATGTACTACAGTCTTCATGAATTGAAGTTCAAAAAACTTTCAAGCAGAAGTTCTCTTGTGAAACCAGTAGTAGGGCTAAATATGCTGGTTTGAGAGTCACTGAAAGAGTCACTATAAGGCCCCATTCAGCACAGATGATCCGATTACTAACTGATCTGCCCACTAAATATGGCTGACCACACTTCAAAAGAGATACTGCTGATTCCTGATGGTCTCCTTGCCTCCACCCACACCACTAAACAGATTAAATTTCCGGTACGAGGTTTAATTGCTAGGCCCCGGCAGTGACGGCAAGAGTGGAAGCAGGGAGACCATCGAGAATCAGCGGCATCACTTTTGAAGTGTAGTTGGCCAAATTTAGTGTCGTTGGATCAGTTAGTAATCGGATCATCTATTCTGAACGGGGCCAAAGAGTCACTGAGTACATGATAGAGCTACAAACCTTCACCATGTGCTCTAAGAACTCTGTCAGCCTTTGAGAGTTGTTCACAAAGATGTGGATGAACTCGTCTGCATTTGCTCTTTGGATTTTGGGAACTTCTCCTTAAAAATGAAAGAAACACAAGTTAGGGCTGTGCAATCAATATAACTTCCAGGCAAGCAAGATGTAGAGATGTGCACATTCAGTGAATCTTTCTTTTTCAATCTGAATTCTCTTTCTTTCTTTTTTTTTTTTTCTGGGGGGGGGGGGGGGGG